CATCACCACCACCATCACCATCAATAACCATCACCATCACCATCACCATCACCATCACCATCACCATCACCATCACCATCACCATCAATAACCATCACCATCACCATCACCATCACCATCAATAACCATCACCATCACCATCACCATCACCATCAATAACCATCACCATCACCATCACCATCACCATCACCACCACCACCATCACCATCACCATCACCATCACCATCACCATCACCATCACCATCACCACCACCACCATCACCATCACCATCACCATCACCATCGATAACCATCACCATCACCATCACCATCAATAACCATCACCATCACCATCACCATCACCATCACCATCACCATCACCATCAATAACCATCACCATCACCATCACCATCACCATCACCATCACCATCACCATCACCCTTCAATAACCAGTCATGAACACACCGCAAACCACGCCAACGGACTCGGGCCACACTCAACTCACCCGCTCTCCTCGCACTCTCTTCTCCCAACCTCAACTCTCACCTCGGTCGAGAGCTCACACTCTCAGCTATCTAACCATGCCAAGAATGTGTGCGTTGTCACAGTCTCCGGAACACACTGTTGCAATACGCACTCCGCCCGAAGCCACTGCCGCCTCGCCCTCGGCCGTCGCGGAACTGCTATTTTCGGCTCGGGCAGCCGTCTGCGGCGATGACCCGTGCTCGCTGCTGGCCGACGATGTAGCTGGTGACTTTGATGTCACCTGCAACTCGCTCTGCGCAACGCGAAAGACCGTCGGCCGCCATCGCCTGCTCAAAGGCTCGGCCAGTGTAGCTGGCGGCGAGACGGGCGGAGCCGAAAGCTGTGCCGGCGCTGATGCGGGCTTGGCCGAGCGTGCTTTGGCGCCGATCGAGTACTTTGAGGCGCTCATCTTGACGCTGCCGCCGGACGGCGGCGTGTGCCTCGGCGTTGTCCCGCAGAGCGCGCCGTGGAAGACCTCGGTCGGCGCGCCCAACGCCGGCCTCGGCCTCCTCTCGACGGGACACCTGGTCGACAGCGGGGTGTTCACCCGACTGCCCGAGGCTGTCGACCTTCCGCTGACGGCAGGCGATGTCATCGGCGTCCGCCTCGCCCGCGGCGTCGACGACGGCGACGGCGACACGGTTGTCACCTTTAGCATCAACGGCGCCGAGGTGGCGTCTTTGGCGGCGATGCTGCATGCGCAGCCGCATGTGCCGGGCCTCTCGCTCCGCGGCGTCGGCACCCGCGTCCAGATGGCTTTCCGCAGCCTCGACTGGCGCTTCCCACCCGACGACCTCGTCGTGCCGTCCGAGCCGTCGTCGCCACTCGCGGCCTCGCCCCTCGCGGCCGCACCGCTGCGGCCGTCGGCACAGTGACAACACAAAAGATGCGGTCATTTACAGCTTAGTTGACAAACGGCAGGACGGCCGAGGTGGTGACGCCGCAGTGCGAGTCGTGGGTGATGTACATGTAGCCACCGCCGTCGGCGTTGCGGGCGTTGGCGGTGTAGGTGCCCATTCGCGGGACCACGAGTTGCGGACGATGAAGACCGGGTTGAGCGGGTCGTCCTGGATCTCGTAGCCGACGAGCATGATCTCGTGATCGAGCGAGACCGGGTTGCAGCCCTTGACCGAGACGACGCCCGAGTGGTACCAGGTCCACACGGCCGGGGTGGTGTCGACGGCAATGGCGAGGCCGCCGTGGTTGGCGACGGCGTCGAGGGTGGCGTGGAGGTCAAACGGCGTGATGTCCTCGTGGTGCGACATGGTGAGGTTCCACGGGCCCTTGTTGTGGCAGATGCCGTCGTTCATGAGGTACGGGTAGTCGTCCTCGGTCGGCAGGCCGCCGGCGGCCTCGACGTACTTGTACGCACCCTTGGCAGTTCCGCCGTTCACGCCCTGGTTGCCGTACGCCCACGAGCAGTCGATGAGAGCCTGCTCCGAGAACTGCACAAACTTGCCGTCCTGCAGGCCGTGCTTGAGGAAGAACGCCGTGGCGAGGGCCTCGGCCGAGCCGAACGACCAGCAAGTGCCCACAAGGCCCTGCTCCTTGAGCGGGCCAACCGCGCCCTTGGTCCGCCAGTCGACGGCCTTGGGCAGCTCGGCGATGGACTTGGTCTTGGGCTTGTACACAATGGCGTCGGCGTCGAGCGTGCCGCGCTTGGTCGCCGGCATGCGGAGCGCCTTGAGCTCGTCGGCGTGGTAGTCGCCAAAGTTGCCGAGCCCGAACCGCGCCGTGTTGTGCTCGTTGTTGAGGAGGTGGATCTGCGCGAGGTTGCGCGCAAACGAGGCCTTGCGCGCCACATGCTCCTCAGAGTCGTGCGCGTACGACCGCCCGGCCGCGGCCTTGTACTCGACAAGCATGTCGTGCGAGTCGACGGCAGCGAGGTGGAAGCGCGAGGCGACCATGCGCGGCGAGGCGACTGACGGCGAGACGACGACCGAGTCGGCGGCGCAGATCTTGGGGAGGGCAAACTTGGACGCGTTGACGTAGTTGGGCTTGTAGTTGGAGAACGTCGTCACAAAGTAGTCGTAGTTGGGCCCGTTGAGGTAGTTCTCGGCCTGGCCGTAGTAGCCCATGACCTCGTACTTGAGCGGCGCGCCAGTTGACGCGTCGGCCCAGTACGTCATGTTGTTGATGGCGTCGGGGAAGCCGGCCGGCGGGTCGTTAAAGACAAAGACGTCAGCCGACACACCTCCCAGCGACTCGGTCCGCTTGTACGCAAACTTCTCCAGCTGGTACGGGAAGGCCGAGAACATGAACGGCGAGAGGTTGATGCCCGACGTGATGCACGTGTACTTGACGTCGTCGGCAGAAGTGCCCTGCGGCGAGATCTGGTACGCACGCTGGTGGCCGTCCTGGGTGATGAACACGTTGGCGTCGAGGTCGTCGTCGTACGACACGTACTCGTTGCCGCTCTTGCCGTCATACCAGATCTCGATCTTCTCCTTGGCGATCGGGAACGTCGGCATCGTCACCTCGAGCTCAACGTAGTACTGTTAGCCCGTCCCGCGTCGCCGTCCCGCAAACATCGTTCACATAATCGTCCCCCCCCCCCGCCGCCGCCATCGATTAATCATCGTTCACATAATCGTCCCCCCCCCCCGCCGCCATCGATTAATCATCGTTCACAATTTCGTTCCGCATCATCAATAAGTCATCGTCAACATCATTGCCACCAATTAATCATCATTCAAATAATCGTTCCCCACGAACAATCCCCCTAGCCCCCCCCAACCTCTACCGCTACACACCCCCACCAAGAGCCACCAAGACCATGCCACCACCACCCTACACCACCACCACCACCACCAAGAGTCGCATATGCGGAAGACAGCAATTTGTTTGCATGCTCCCAAAGTGCCCAACCAACCACCACCACCACCACCACCACCACCACCACCACCACCACCACCACCACCACCACCAATACCGCTGACATCAAACGTACCTGCTCGGGCGGAGCCATGGGCGTCTTGTGCACAGCTGTGGCACTGGCAATGGCGCAAAGCGCAACCATAACAACAAGCACAACCTGCATTGCTGATGGTTGGTAAAGTCACGTGAGTGTATGTGCGACACGTTCGCCAAAACCACAGTCACCCCCGATCTCCCGCCTCCCCCATCACCATCGTCATCACACCCGATCCTACCAAACTGGTCCGCTTTTACCCATCAGGTGGCCGTCAACGGCGTGGCGTCGGAGAGCTGCGCGTAGGCGGCCCGACGGGCGGAGATGGTGACAAAGCCGAGGATGCCGCCGACAACGCCAAAGATAAGCGCAGCGATGACGCCGACAGAGAACAAGGCGACCGAGACAGTGGAGGCCTTGGGGGGCGGTGGGACCGGCGCGATGGGCGACGGCGGTGGCGGTGGAAGCGCCGGCGACGGCGGCGGCGGCGACGGTGGCGGCGGTGGCGGCGGCAGGCTGTGCATGGCCATCTTCTGGTCGAGGATCCGCGCAAGCCGCATCCCGCCTAGCACAATGTTGCGGTGCAAAAAGTCGACCGCGTTCTTGGCCGCCGCTTCCGGGTACTCGTCACCGGGCACAATCGACCCGTTGAGGTACGCGTACTTGACGGCGTTGTCGTGGCAGACAGGCGCCCAGACGGCAGGATCGAGCTCGTCGAGCTCGTTGATGGTCAGCGTCGGCTGCCAGGTCTCGATGAGCTCCTGCGCCTTGCCCTCGAGCGTCTTGAGGTCAGCCTCTGAGAGCGGAAGCGAGTACGACGTGTCGTACGAGTAAAAGACCGAGTCAAAGAGCGAGTGCAGATTGGTCGTCTTGCCATCGTACTGCACCGAGAACGAGTTGCCGCCACGATCGCCATCGGGGAAAGTAGCCGAGAAGAGCGAGCAGCAGTGACAAGGCTGATGCAAATCACCGACGATATGAGTAAGGACTCTCATAGCAAAGGCAAGCGTCCAACGATCTGCTGATGCCTTGCTCAGAGTAGCAAGAGCATCCGCCAGAGCCGTCACCGCATTCGGCACCGGTGTCGCCGGCACCGGTTCAAACGAGCTCGGATTGTACGGCAACGTGATGTAGTGCCATTCATGAAAGGCCTTGCTTGAGCCCTTGATTTCATCCATCCAAACAGATGATGCCACAAACGATGGTGTCTTGTCAAACAATGCCGATGCTCCTCCCACCACTCCCTGTGCCTTGCTCAGCGTATCTCCCGTCATGCTCAACTCGGCCACCGTCGCCACCAGCATGTGTCCCTCTCCCCAAAACCCGTCCACGGGGAGGCATACGCACACAAGCCAGACAACCACCATACACACACAAGCAAACATGCCCATACCCATACTCACTCGGCTCGCCGACAAGTCTGTCTTCCCGCGTCCGCCTTGCCCCTGCTGCCCCCCCCCCCTCTCCCCTCCCCCCCTCCTCCCACGATCGGCCACCTCCTCCCTCCCCCCCCCCCGTGACCTGCAACGACATGTGTAGATGGGGGGTGGTCCCCCATCACAGCTACAAATTTTATCCCCTGCACCCCAACACCCCCCACACACAGCCACAGCCACAGCCACAGCCACGTCAAAGTCAAGTTTACCCACGCGCACGGATGGCAGCCTGCTCCCGCACCCACTCGCTCCCGGCTGCGGCGACATACTCGTCCAGCTCAGGCATCTTCAGCCCCTTGGCCCCGATGACAACAGGCATGGCCAGTCGCTTGCCCTTGGTCACCACGTGCGTCCGCCCTGCCTCGGACTTGCGGAGAATGCGGAACTTGGTCACGGCGCCGGGGAAGACAAACCGGAACGAAGCCGAGAGCGCCTTCATCGACTTCACCGCCTTGCCGCCCACTCCCTCGATGATGTCGCCCACCACAATCCCGGCCGCCTCGGCTGGCGACCCCGCCTTGACGTCCGTCACCAGCACCTGCTTGGTCTTGTCGTTGGCCACAAGCCCGAGCATCGGCTTGGCGCTGCTGAGGAAGGCCCGCGCCTCACTCGCGCTCAGCCCGTTCGCCTCGCTCGCCTCGCCGGCCTCGGCGTTGGGCTCCGCGTTCTCGCCGCCTGCTGCGCCTGCATCTGCTCCCACCGCCGCGGCCTCACCCTCAGCCTCGTCCTCGCCACCCGCGTCCGCGCTATCAGTGCCCGGCACGACCGCTGCTCCTGCCGCCGATCCCACCAACGCGTCGCCGTCCAGCGGCTCCGCCCCAGTCCGGACCTTGTGCCCGCGGAAGACGGCCTGGATCTTGGTCGCTGCTGCATGTGCCTTGGCTTCCTCCTCGTCTTCGTCCGCCACCACCACCACCGGTGCGTTCTTGGCAGCCTCAGCAAGCTGCTTGGCCTCGGCCTGCTGCCGCAGCGAGAGGTGCGGCGCACCGTACTCGGGCTCCACATCGGCATCGCCTTCCTTGGGCTGGTACACCTCGACCGTCTCCTCCACCTCGGCCGCCCGTGCTCCACGGATCGTCGCAAACTGCCGCCCGCGCTTGAACATCAGCACCGTCGGCTGCGACTGCGACTCAAACTCGGCAAGCTCCTCAATGCCGCTCGCCATCGCCGTCACAAACCGCACACCCTCATTACCCAGATCCACAAACAGCTTGCGATACGTCCGCTCCAGCGCCCCGCACGGTCCAGCCCATCCAGCAACATCCACCACTTCCATCAAAACACACTCTTGCTCCATGAGTCTACCCTGTGTCCCAGTACCTCTTCTTTTTCTTTTCTGGTGCGCTCCGCCATTCGCCGAGCCACGCCGCCAGCCACTAAAATTACAAAAATTTCGTCGCGCCGCTCCACGAATCCACCGCTCGCTCACCCACCATTCCGCCCGCTCACTCGTCCGAGTCACCCACGCCCGCCCCCGCCCGCCCTGTCGACCAACCACGACCACGACCACGCGCGGCCAACCGGTTGCCTCTCCCAAGTGCACGCCTGCGGTCCTTCTCGAGTCACATACCAAGAAGACCATCAAAGGTCAAGGCCTCCTCCCACTCTGCCTGTGTCGTCACCATGCTCTGCACCTTCAGCTTTGACCGCCGCATCATTGTCGGTTGGCCGGTGAAGACGAGTATGGCTGACTGGCGTGGCGTGACCGTTGCCAGCCAACGAACGACGGCCGCCCGCTGCCCCCCCTCTCCCCCCTCCCGCGCCCTCCCCTCCGCCCCATCGCTACCCACCATAATTCATCGACTATCGATCTTTCGTTCACTTAACTCGAGCTCGTCGAGTGACTCGACGTAGCCGAGTCGGACCCATTCAGCATGCCCATGCTCTCACCGGCGATGGGCTCGAGCCCGATGCTGCCGCGTCGCCATCCAACACGACCGCTGGCTTGAATGCAGGCTCGATCCGCGATGCGGATGGGCTCCATCCGGCATGCTGCCGTTGCCGGAGCGCTGTGAGCGCCGCGTCGATCGCCACGCTCTCCTCGCCGGTGGCTTCGAGTGCCTCCCGCTTCAGCTGTGCTACCATCCGCTGCTGCCGCTCGCCAAACGCCGAGTACCGCGCCTTGCGCGCCTTGCGGATCTGCATCAGGTCTGTTGCCACTGCATGGACCGCCACCACCGCGAGTACCACGAGCGTCGCCACCAGCACGCCGAGAATGACCTGGTCTGACTGCGAGCTCCCCGTGTGCCGCTCCGCGTACGACGCTCCGCCGAGCACGAGGATCGCCACCAGAACGAGCGTCAGCCGCATGTCGAGCTTGTTGTACAGCGGAAAGTAGAACGGCGCCGCCGACGAGACCCAGAGCATCGAGGCCAAAAACACCGCCATGAGCACGCCGATGAGCACCAGCTGGTGCTCAGAGGCAAACGTAGCCACAGCCACCACGACAAGACGCTTGCCGAGATCAACCACCCCACCCCAATAGTGCGAGACACGGTAGAGCTTGTACAGCCCGCCGTACCGCGCAAACGTGCTCGGATTAAGCAAATCGTCCGCGTGCGACATCAGGCACACCAGAAAGTAGCCCGGTACGCCCATCACAAACAACCCGAGGCCCAAGAAGCCCACGGGCGCCACGCCCCACCACGTGCTGTCAAAGCACTCCACGCCTGGATCGACATCGAGCACAATCGTCCCATTCGGCAAGCGCGTGCAGTCAAAGAGCACAAACGTCGCCCGCGCAAGCGGAATGTACAGCAGAGGTGCAACCGCAAACACCGCCGCGTCAAGCACCGTCTTGATGCTTGCCTCGCCCAGCGCTGCAAACCCGCCAGGCATCCACCCGCCCTTCACCAGCCCACGCAGCAGGATCACGCCGCCGCACGCCACACACATCAGCCCGAGCGGCAACAGTACACTCACCACGTACTTGGTCTGGAAGTTCTCCAGCGCACACTCGGACGCAAACAAGTTGACGTCGATGTTGGCCACGTTGAACGTCCCCATCGTTGACTCGGCAGACGACGACCACGCAAACGGCACGTCCGCAAGCAGCCCGATGACCTGGAACACAACCAGGACCATCGAGATCGACGGCGGCACGCTCCGCATACGCAGTCGCTCCGTCCGCGGAAGCGCAGCCTTGGCCTTCTCTGTCTCGGACGCCTCTTTGGCTTCGACCTCGCCTCCTCCGCCCTCGATGTCGCCGCCCGCCCCGCCCATCGCCGCCCCGCCTCCAACCATCTCCCGCGACTTGGCCACAGAGAGTCCAACACCGACCGCCACTGCCGCAACCGCCGCAAGCAGGACCACCAGCCCGCCCGAGAGAATGCCCGACGCGCCCGACGGACACGCCACACACTCGCGCGCAGAGTTCGAGTAGTACCCCTTCTTGCACACGTTGCACATGTACCCGTCATGTCCGACCGCACACGCCCGCGCAACCCCGCCGGGACACGCGGACGGCCGCTTGCATCGCACAAACGACGCGTTGCCCGTAGCGAAAAACTCGGGCAGCGGTTCGGGTCGCCCGTTGCCGCCCAAGCACTTACCGCCCGCAGGACACGGCACACACACAATGTCGTCCACAAGCGGATCCACAACCGACCGCCCGGCGTACATGAACCCGGCCCGGCACACGCACTCCACCGCAGTCGTCCCGCTCGGTGCCACATCCACTGCTGTGTCGGGACACGGCTTCACAGGCTTGCACGCCGCAAACGACAACTCCGTCGAAAACGTGCCATCCGCGCACCGAATGCAAACCTTGCTCGCCTCGCCGCCCACAACTGCGTCCACTGCACCAAACTCGGCAGGACAGGCCGTCACTACAGACGTCGCTCTCAGCTGCGCAACGTTGGCCGATGACGCCACGCCCACAGAGAGCCCAACAGGAAGCGGCACCGAATCCAGCGCAGGCGTCACCACAGCCACAACCGTCTGCGGCAAGTCCACATCTGCAGCAGCCAACGTCGTCTGCACCACAGCGTTTGTCCGAATCGCATCCGTCGCCGCCGTGTAGCTCACCTCAATTCGCACCAATCCGTCCGCATGGACATGATTGAGCGTGCCCAGCCCACGGATCTTTGCGCTTGGCCGGAGACCCGACGCAAACTCCGTCGATGCTCTCTCCACCCACTCCAGCCGCTGCAGCGGCCCGTGCCACGAGATCCCAGCTCCCAACCCGCTCGGCAGCATCTCCACCACAGACTTGTTGCACACAAACAGATCCTGCGCAGGCGCCGCCCGCGAGCTCGACGCCAGGTTGCCGCTCCAGCTCCCGCTCTTCACAACTTGCACCGCTGAACTGTGGTGGCAGCTCGCCATGCCTCCGCCATAATGCCGCGCAGAGTTGCCCACAAACGCCACGCTCTCCAGCGTCACGTTGCCCACCACTCCGGCGCCCGGCACAGGGTACGCCCAAGACGCCGGCGCGAGCGCTGCCGCCTCTGCGCCGCTGCGCGAGAACAGAGCCATTCCGCCGCCAAAACGCGCCGTGTTGCTGCCAACCACACTCGATGCCACTCTCGAGACGCCAGCACTATCTTCGTCGCTGCTCGGCAGCTCAATGAAAATCCCACCGCCGCCGGCCGAAGCCTCGTTGCCCTCGACCCATGAGTCTGTCGTCTGCAGAGACGATGCCGCGTCGACATACATCCCGCCGCCAGAGCCCGCCATGGCATGGTTGTTCGTCACGTTGGTCGAGATGAGAGTTACCGCAGCTCCGGCGCTCGCGTACACTCCGCCACCACTTCGCCCGGCGCTAGAGCCCACCAGCTGGCAGCCATCAAGCACCACCGAGCTCGTCGGATCGCGGACAAAGACCCCGCCACCGTAGTCAATTGCCGTGCACGGTCCAATTGTCGAACCGCTGGCCTCGAGCCGCCCGCCGCTGGAAATGGCCACGCAGCCACCGCGCCCCTCATCAGCCGTCATCGTCGTCATCGCCGCCGCTTGTGAGCCTGAGATCGACGAGTCATGAAGCAGAATGCGAGTATTTGCCCCCGAGGCACGTAGCCCTTGGCCACCCACCAATGAATGCGTCGCACTCCTGGTCCGCCGCACGTCGACTCGCGCCAAGTCGAGCTGGCCTACGGCAAACGAGTCCGTCTCGAGCACTTCCATGCTGTACAGCACGCCCGAGTCCTCGCAGTCGAGAACCACTCGCGCAGGCGCACTTTCAGCAGGCTCGATCCGAATCGGCCGCGTGATCTTGAGCCCACGGTCGCGCCGGCACCCGGTGTAGCGCCCGGCTGGGAGGAGGAGCGTGTCTGTCGTGCACCGTGCCAAGCCCGCCAGTGACGCCTCCACGCAGGCCAGCGACGTGTTGCCCTGCACTTTGCACTCGCTCTTGCTCAGATCAAGGTTCCGCCGCTTAGGAACGCCAAGCGTGTACCCGTTGCGGCGCAGGTGAGTGGCGGTGCCAAACGTGCCTAGTTGACTCGCCACACTATACAGCACCACTGCGTCCATGTCGAGGTCGCCGTCAAAGTCGCCAACCGCAACACGAAAGCGCCCGCAGGCGCCGGAGATGGGCCGGAGTTGATGTTGGTTATCGAAATGCTGCCGCCGAGGCTTGTACGCGCCCAATCGATGGCCGTCTCCGTCTCATCGATGATTGTGATCGCATCAAGGTCGCCGTCGCCGTCAAAATCAGCCACCGCCACCGAGCTCGAGTCGGTGCCGGTTGAAAGATTGGGTCCACCCCACGGCGCCGGTGACGGTGTCGCGCCGGGATTGGTAAACACACGCGCCCTATAGTTCCGCGCTGCCACAGCCAGGTCGCCGTATCCATCGCCGTCGAAATCGGCAATCACGAGCTGGTTGCCCAAGTACCCGACCGTCGAGAGGATCGCAACTGCACTGCCCGTAGAAAAGTACGGCGACGTCGCCACACCTGGGAGATACGTCAGGCCATTGACGTGCGAGAACGCAAGATCAACCCGCCCGTCACCGCTCATGTCGCCGAGGCCAAACATGCTCACCGACGACGCCGGTAGCGGCACTTCGGTCCGGGCCGTAAAGTACGGCGCCGCTGTCGTGCCCCAGTAGATATAGATTTTGTCAGAGGATCCGTCCAAGACCACAGCGTCGATCGCGCCATCGCCGTTCACATCTTCCATTTCCATGTGCACCCCCATTCCAACATCGTTGAACGCTGCTGACGGTGCCAAAAACATGCCGGCTCCGTTGCTGTTGATCGAGACATAGAGGCTGTCGAATGAGAGCAGGACAAGGTCGCGGTCGCCGTCGTGGTCGATGTCGGTCGCTGCTATGGCCGCCGTCACCAATGATGATGTCACAACTTGCCTCGCATAAAACTGCCCGCTCATGTCGGTGTTTGGATACCACAGCACGAAACCGTCGGTGCATCCGAGCGCAATGTCGGCCGAAAGATCGCCATCAAAGTCGGCCACCACCACAGTCAAGCACGCCCGTGGCGTCGAGTCGCGCACTACGGGCACCGTGAACGACCCCGAGTCCTCGCGCAGGTACATCGCCAAGTTGTCGGTCGAGTTGGCCATCGTCGCTGCTACAAACGAAATCCCCGGCCCAGTCACAAAGTCAAACGCGTACGCTGCGAACACAATTGGGCCCCCACTCGAAGCCGGTCGGCCGATTTCTACAAACGTGCCATAAACACCTGGCGCAAGCGCAGGCACAAAGCCCACGCTCGTGGTCGTCGACACAATGATGTCAACCAGATCACCATCGCCCGAAACAGACCCAGTCTCCATCTGATACACATAGAAAACAGAGGCCAGTTGTGATGCCGACGCCGGCCCTCCGCTTGTCAGGCTCAGAATCGAGCCCGTGGTCGCATACAGAAGGTCATCACTCCCGTCAGCATTGATGTCCGCCACATGACTGACAGCGACTTGCTGGACAACAGTCAACAGGCTCGTCGAGGAACCGACGTACACGCCCGGGCTGGTGGCCCGGAACCAGCGGATGCCATGGCCATCCGCAGCGTACAACACGTCAAGTACGCCATCCTTGTCCCAATCGACGAGCGCTGCAGTCCGCGCGCTCGCCACAGGTGTCAGCACAGTCTCCGGCCAGAGTATCCCAAGCTCGTTGACGAGCTCGGCACCCGGATGAGTGAGAACCTTGATTATCGAGCCGTAAGAGAGGAGCATATCGGGCCGGCCGTCGTTGTTGGCATCGGCCATCTGCGCCACAGGACTATCCTCCGAGAACAACGAATGGATGGTGCCCGCCGGTGAGAAGACACCGCTGGTGTCTATGACTGTGTTGTTTGCCCACCGTACGCCAATCGCCTCATGCACAACCACTATGTCGAGGTCCCCGTCAAGATCCACATCGACCGCAAACATGAGCTTCACCCGGTTCTCAAAGTTGGTCTCCACTGGAAGCGTCATGACGGGAAACGACGAGCCAAAGTCGTCTGGCCCACTCCCGGTGTTCGGCACCCAACGGATCTCACCGTTGGCGGCATAGACCATCGACTTGTAGCCCGATCCGAAAAAGTCGGCCGCCAGCAGGGCCGAGTAACCATCGTCATCTCGAGCCACAGATGTAAACGGGGTTGCTGTCACCGTTGTCTCCGACAAGCAAAACAAGCCACTTGCCGACACTCCAACCATGCACCAGCCAAGTGTCAAGACAACGACAGCCAACGCTACAACGCTCTGCAAAGCTGTATCCGAGGCGGAGCGAGATCCCAACACACAAAATGGTCGCAAAACGCATTTTGCGTGCAGCCGAACACCCGCAAAATCCGAGGCGACGTTAGTTGCACACTTCTCGTCCGCCTGCCCGCCACCCC